CCCCACCCCCCTGATTTCTCACGCTGAAGTGTCAACCCGGTCGGTCAAATGCCTGAAAGATGAGTTTATCTATAGATCTACCTGTTGAGCCACTCGTGATCGACTAGTTATACCGCAAATCAGTTAAAATCTCCCGGACTCTAGAGCGAGCGTGCATGCGAGACAGAGACCGCGTAGCGCGCGCGCACCCGCAGAGAGGGAGAGCGAGCGAGAGACCTTGCGTGTGCAGAGAGCATCCTGATCTAGAAACTGGACCCCCCGTTGGAGAATGGCAAAATTCCTCCTCAAATCTGAGCAAGCACCCGCAAGCCGGCACAGGAATGTTAAAAACTTACTGAAAAAAACCCTGCCTGAACCCCCAACTGACATGACATGGCTGTTTTGGTAAACTCTTTTTTACTCCTCTCTGCACTTTACTGTTAAAAGACGTAAGTGTTAATAATTTGGAATACAGTCAGGAGAGACTTTCATTTTAATTATTTTATTGCTGTATTTTATTTACATCTATTCGAATTAAGGATTTTACAAAAAAATATATGTATTTTATATGCTGAATATGCAGAAATATAAGTTAACAGAAGGACTTTCTTTATTTCATTAAAATATGGTGGAATGTGCAGAAAATAGGTTTAAATGTTCATCAAAAGTCTGAGACTGTTGCATTTAATTTAATTTTTGCTTGATGCAATGTGCATAAAGTTAAAATATTGAAACTAATAAAACAAGTTAAAAAAAAGAGTGTTTCATTTGATTAAATTTTAGATGATGGAATATGCAGAAAGAATAGAATTAGGCTGAAAGGTCTATTGCGTTATAGCGTATTCAGGTTGTGCATCATGTTTTTGAAAAGTAACTTAGTAAAGTAACTAGTAAAGTAACTAATTACTTTTGAAAATAAGTAATCAGTAAAGTAACTGGATTACTTTCTTGGAGAAGTAATCAGTAATCAGTAACTAATTACTATTTCCAAGTAACTCGACCAACACTGCTCCTCAATGGATCAAGTCCAGACCGAACTTCCCGACCAAAACATGTTGTGTGTGGGGTTCGGGCTGGCATCCAGGCTAATCAACTCACTTAATTTTGATTAATTCCCCCAGAAAACAGGACATAATATCTTATATCATTTTACTCCTCTAGTAAATGCATCTTGATTTAAGAAATGTTTGATATTTGGACTGGAAACAAGACAGAAATACTGAGTAAGAAAAGCATTTACATAGACAAACAGCAGCAGAAGCTTGTTATCCAAGCACACACACACACACACACACACACACCCTGTGATGAGCACACACACACTTTACACATGTGCATGTTTACCGAACACACACACACACACGCACGCTTTCATAACCTGATGATGGGCGTTACGTGTTCACACCCGCTGTGTCCAGGTCATTGTCCAACATGAAAGTCTCGCAGAACAATAGCCTGAACTTTCACACGGCGCAGCGGACAACACACACAACACACTCAACACACACAACACAAAACTCAACACACACAACACAAAACACAACACACACAACACACACAACACACACACAACACACACAACACAAAACACAACACACACAACACAAAACTCAACACACACAACACAAAACACAACACACACAACACACACAACACACACACAACACACACAACACACTCAACACACACAACACAAAACTCAACACACACAACACAAAACACAACACACACAACACACACACAACACACACAACACACTCAACACACAACACAAAACTCAACACACACAACACAAAACACAACACACACAACACACACAACACACACAACACAACACACTCAACACACACAACACACACAACACACTCAACACACACAACACAAAACACAACACACACAACACACACAACACACACAACACACTCAACACACACAACACAAAACACAACACACACAACACACACAACACAACACACACAACACACACAACACACTCAACACACAAAACACAACACACACAACACACACAACACACACAACACACACAACACACACACAACACACACAACACAACACACACAACACACACAACACACACAACACACACACACAACACACAACACACACAACACAAACAACACACAACAAAACACACACAACACACACAACACAAAACACACAACACACACAACACAACACACAACACACACAACACAACACACACTCAAACACAACACAACACACACTCAAACTGAACACAACACAACACACTCAAACTGAACACAACACACTCAAACTGAACACAACACAACACACACAACACACACTCAAACTGAACACAACACCCACTCAAACTGAACACAACACACACTCAAACTGAACACAACACAACACACACTCAAACTGAACACAACATTAGCTGAGTGTTTGATTGAAGTGTTTGCTGTGCCGTCAGACTCTCGCCCTGCTGTCAGATAAGAGTCGGTCACAGTGTATAAATCACGTAACAGCACAGTCTGAATAAACCAGTCTGAATACACCAGTCTGAATACACCAGTCTGAATACACCAGTCTGAATACACCAGTCTGAATAAACCAGTCTGAATAAACCAGTCTGAATACACCAGTCTGAATACACCAGTCTGAATAAACCAGTCTGAATAAACCAGTCTGAATACACCAGTCTGAATAAACCAGTCTGAATAAACCAGTCTGAATAAACCAGTCTGAATACACCAGTCTGAATAAACCAGTCTGAATAAACCAGTCTGAATACACCAGTCTGAATAAACCAGTCTGAATAAACCAGTCTGAATACACCAGTCTGAATACACCAGTCTGAATAAACCAGTCTGAATACACCAGTCTGAATACACCAGTCTGAATAAACCAGTCTGAATACACCAGTCTGAATAAACCAGTCTGAATACACCAGTCTGAATAAACCAGTCTGAATACACCAGTCTGAATACACCAGTCTGAATAAACCAGTCTGAATAAACCAGTCTGAATAAACCAGTCTGAATACACCAGTCTGAATACACCAGTCTGAATACACCAGTCTGAATAAACCAGTCTGAATAAACCAGTCTGAATAAACCAGTCTGAATACACCAGTCTGAATACACCAGTCTGAATACACCAGTCTGAATAAACCAGTCTGAATACACCAGTCTGAATAAACCAGTCTGAATACACCAGTCTGAATAAACCAGTCTGAATACACCAGTCTGAATACACCAGTCTGAATAAACCAGTCTGAATAAACCAGTCTGAATAAACCAGTCTGAATACACCAGTCTGAATAAACCAGTCTGAATACACCAGTCTGAATACACCAGTCTGAATAAACCAGTCTGAATAAACCAGTCTGAATACACCAGTCTGAATAAACCAGTCTGAATACACCAGTCTGAATACACCAGTCTGAATAAACCAGTCTGAATACACCAGTCTGAATAAACCAGTCTGAATACACCAGTCTGAATAAACCAGTCTGAAT